TATTATTTTTTGGTGTTTCATACTAAATATTATGAATTTTAATTACAGACTTCTGCACTGTACTGGATTTATGGCGGATTATCCGATATGCAGCCATATCTGCCTCAATTCCCTCCAGAAGCGCAACTCGGCTTCCAACAGTCCTACAACTATGCATACTCTTCCTGACTGTTGGGGGCCAGGGTGTTCCACATGGGGGGCCGTCCAGTCAAGTTTTCTCCCAGGACGAATACATTCCCCCCATGAGGACACAGTCACACACCGCCAGGCATCAACCCGCCCCCAATATTGGTGGGGGTAGAAGATCTCGGGTTCGTCCCCACGCTCAGCCGTCTACCCAGCCCTTCCCACCTCAACCGCCCCCAGCACTTCTCACCTCAGCCGCCCCCTCAGCTGCCCCAGCCTTTCTCACCTCAACAGCCGTCCGCCCAGGACTACTACATACCTCAGCCGCCCCAGCCCTTCCCACCTCAGCAGCAGTCCACCCAGGACCACTATATACCTCAGCCGCCCGAGCCTCAACAAGGTGAGATTTTTAAATTAATGATTTTTTTTATTATTTTTTTTGTCCAGTCCAATTTATGATTTCTTTCTTCCAATTGAATTACTCAGATGATGAAGAAGATGACCAAGCTTTTCAAGCTGACACGCTTCTTACACCTCAACCTCAAATTGTATATGCTCGGAGGGGGTCCAGACAGCGCATGCCTCCGAATCCATACACCCCTAATTAGTTAGTTGTGATGAATTCGTGGATTTTGTGTTTCATTTTCAAATGTTGGATTGTATGTACAAACTGAATTATATCGTTTTTTATATATTGTTTGTTTAACAAATTATTGTGTTTTTTCATTTGTTTCGTTTTAGTGTATGTTGGATTATTATTGCTCGAACAGGTATATTTGATTTTGGGGTAAATTTGATTTTACCAATTTTTTTTTTTTAATTTTTTTCTTTTAAAAACGTATTTAAAAAATACATTTTACTGTTAAATTAAATTTAAAATATAAAAAAATTTAAAATGTATTTATGAAATACGTTTTCATGATTAAAAAAAAATTAAACAAAAAATGAATTATGAAACGTATTTATGGAATACGTTTTCCTGTTTAAAAAAATTTTAAAAAATAAAAAAAATTAAAACGTATTTTGTAAATACGTTTCTGTAATTAGAAACAATTCAAAAAAAAATTCTTTTTAAAATGTATTTACGAAATACGTTTTGCTGTTGATTAATTAACTTAATTAAAATAATTAAGTAAAAAGTATTCAACGAATACATTTTAGTTTCATAATTTAATTAAACTGTGTTCGAGGATTACGGGTTATAAATAATATTATTGAAAAACGTATTCAAGGAATACGTGCTTTTTATATTTGTCCACTCGCTTTTTTTTGTCCACTTATTTATTGTTTTTTTTAGTAAAAAATTCGGCAAACCTCCTTTGGAATTAGTTGAAATAACCTTCTCAAAACCGAGAATTGTTGGCGAAGTTTCACTTTTATCCACACAAATTATATTTTTTAATGGGAAATTTTAATTTTAACACCTATGTATACTTTATTATGGGCTTATTACTAAGAAACTAGTATGAATCCCGTGCGATGCATAGATATTCATTAATATTTGTAAATTAAATTATTATTATTAAATAATATCTATAAATTAAAATATGGAACCAATATGTAATACAATTTACCTATATTAATTTATTTAGGATGTTATATAAAATTTAAATTGTGAAAATTACATAAAACATGTCGATTTAAAATTAGTATACAACCCGTACGGTACACATAAGTGATAATAAATTTCATTATATTTATTTCAAAATAATTGTCATTTTAAATTTTTTATTTTGAAATTCTACTTGAATAAAATGTTGTTCCATAAAATAATTATTTTGGTAGAATCTTATCATATATTTAAAAATCTATGTAAATCAAATAAATTCGTTTTTTGTGATTTTATTTATTTTTTTCAACAAATAATTTATTAACCTTTTCAACTATATAAATAACGTGTTAAATGAATCTTACCCTCAAATAACCGCTAATTTAATCAATTAGATAATCACTAATACAATTAATGGATTGCTTGAAATCTCATATTTTAATAGTTCCTAATATAATTCTGGATTTTAATAGTTAATACCTTAATCAATATGTATTATGTTTTAATTATTTCCTTAAATAATAAGCCGCAATTTCCATAAGTGATTATTTGAAATATACCATAAATTGTTAAATTAATTTCCCAAAATAGTAAATAATTTTTTTTTTGGAGGGAAATAGTTACTATTTAAAAAATAATCAAACCTTTATATATATATATATATATATTTATATATATATATATATAGATATTGGTGTCAACATTTCAAAAATAATTTATTTTCGGTAAAAAATTAATGGTTGTTCACCGTGGTTCTTTTAGTAGCGAATTTCGATAAATTATATATCGGTTTGAGCTATTCGACTCGAAATATTTGAAAATACCTTCAATTTGTAGTCGGTGTCTTGAAGTTTGTCAAAATCGTCATTATTGTTTTCAAATTTTTTCGACCAAATTGTGTATGAATCAATGATTCAGTTGTTGGACTTCTATAAAAAAGAATATGCATCGAGAACTTTTTTGTTGAATAATCTAACAGTGTCTCTCATCGTCAATTGGAGCTCTCAATCACCTACCGGTATGTCAGCGAAAGTTCCAATTTTCTCGGCTGCAGCAACTTAATGAAAAATTGAAATTCTTTTGCCGCCAAGATAACAATAGCTTCTTTTTTTTTTAAACAAAAAACATAAATATCACTATTTTAGGTTTTTTAGTGCAATAAAAATGAAACTATCAACGTTATCAATGTCAAAACAATTTTTCTAATGATATGTAATAAAATTTTATTTCTTGGTAAAGTAAGAGAATTTTTTTCAGAACTATGAAATTTTTTCATGAAGGAGACAATATTCAGAGTTGGGACTTGCATCCTCCATACCCGTACTGTCCTCTGCATGATCTTTTTCTCTGCCAGCAAAAACATTATATCATTCTAATGACTCGGTTGCTAAATGCTCGATTATTATTGTTTACAAGTCCGAAAAATTTTGATCTCTCTAAGAAAAAATACGAAGTTTTTTTGACAACAATAACCAAACTTACATTTTCGAATATATGAAAATCCCAACGATGACAAATATAAATGCCATGAAGTATAACCAATCTACCTACAAAACTCAAATCGAGATTTTCAGTATGGATTTTAGAAAATGAATGGCTTTTCTCAGGTGGTATCAACTTAATTCTAACAAGCTAAAATCTGCAGATAATATAAACATTAAAGATACAGTTTGCTCGTAGAAGAATGTTCGAATCACAACAGCCCACATATCTGACGGAAGAAGGGAAAGATTGAACAATGTGGATCCTCTCATCTGTATCATTGTTTATTACAAATATTTCATACAAATATTGAAAGAATTTATCATTTCAAACTAAAAGATTTAGAAACTAGCCTTGAGAACAATTAGGAGAATTTAATGGAACAGAAAGCTTGCCACTGCATAACCAGCATAAGCTGAAATCTAGAACAAAAACAACAATGACAAATAAAAATTTGAAAATCAGAAGGTTAATAAACCAACCACATTAGAGTCAATACTTACAAGTTACAAGTCCAGCAGACCATTTGACCGACTCGAATGCCTTCCTCTCGAGGACAATACTAACACGAAAAGGTCAAGATTATGACACTAATAATAATGGAAGTAAGATGACGATGAACATTTAGGTAGCCAAATATAACCGATTGGACAACAAATATTTGAAAAAGGATACATCTCAGTTGCACTAACGAGCATGCCGAACATGCCAATCATAGCCACTGCCTCAATTTGATCTTTTTCCTTCACACAAAATTCCTGATTATCGCAATCAAAATTTGCTCAAAAAACTCAAAAGGGAAGAGCGAAAAAACAAAAAGTATAAGTGTATGGTATTTTCACTGTTGTAACTAACAAAATAGACCTCTCCAACATTGTTTATTGCATAAAAAAACGAGCCTGCGATTACAAGACAATCACCCAAAACAGGAATCGAACCACCTGATGAAACAAAACTAGTATGTACAAAAACACTTAATTTGATTGGAAAATAAAAAATTTGTATATATAATTTCACTTTGATAAAAGGATCGAAAATGTTCACCTCCACCGGCCACCCCTGCATCAGAAAGGAAGACTAGGCTGAGGCCGGCCACACAAACAGCCGAACCTACAAACTGATTAACCGAGTATTTTGTGCCCAAGAAAATC